CTTCCCATGCATGTTCCCCCTGCTTCGCACCAACGTTTGCTGTTTCATTCTGTGCTTTGTTGTGCGTTCCATTTCTTATGTACCCTGCTCTCCTCCTCCCCCTCCCCTTCTCCCTGTTTCCCCTTTCTTTCCCCTCCAATCCACCTGCCTTCCCGCCTCCTCATTTCTTCTCCCCACTCCCTCCCCCCTCCTTCATGCGACCTGCCATCCTCTCACGGGCCACGACAACCTGCTGGAGAGGATGGCAGGATTGCAGGATGGCAGGGCGACAGGGCGGCAGCCATGCACCACTCGCGTTTGCAGTGGGTCCGCGCAGCCATGTCGATCAGAAAACCATGTCGTCACCTTAGCAACTAACCAGACGGCCTTAGCGTTCTGTCAAGTGGCCGTCGGCATTGCCTTCCTCATCGTCACTTTCAGCACTGGTGGGAGAATTGACTTCTCCCGACCTCCTCCTCTCCCCTGCTCTTCAAGGAAGCGCGTTCTCCCGCGGTTAGATGACTGACGCCTTCCTCGAGGTGGGTGAGAGGGTTGGGGAGAGGTGGGCGCGGGAGAGGGGAGTTGTGGGTGCGGGGATAGGGCTGGGGGGTAGTTGGGAAGGGGCTGGGAGATGGTTAGTCGTGGAGGGGGGTGGGGGTGGGGATGGGGGAGGGGGGGAGGGGGGGGGGGTGAGGGGGCATGGAGAACGAAAGAGGGTGTTCCCGCGACGAGATCGGACGGCTTCCTCGAGGTGCGGGAAAGGGGCGGGGAAGGGGTGGGCGTGGGGGAGGGGAGATGTGGGGGCAGGGAGAGGGCTGGTGGCTGGGAGTGGGCTAGGAGAGGGGAGAGGGGGGGAACAAGAGGGGAGGGGGAGAGTAGGGAGAGGGGTGGAAGGCATGGACAAAGAAATCGGGTGCGTTCGCAACAAGATTGCAGACGCATTCCTCGAGGTGCGCCGCGGGAGAGGGGGGGGAAGGAGGGGGGGGGGGGGGGGGGGGGGGGGGGGGGAGGTGGGAGTGTTGGGTTGGTTGGTGATGAAAGTGAGAGGGTTGTGCAGCGAGGAGAAATGAGTGACGACGGGGATTGCTAGCAGTCGTTTTTTCGCTCGAGTCCCAACCCAACCCCTCTCACTTCTCCACTCTCCGCCACCCGTGCTACATTTATCGCTCAAGTGTGCACACATTGTGCGACATCCCCAAACCTTGGTCTCCCTGCCTGTTCCCCTTTGCGCCATTCCCACTCTTTCCGCCTTCCTGAAGGTGCACCGGGGAAGATGTGTGAGGACTTGTGCCAGCAGTAGCAGACGGCATGTTGCTGCGCAAGCTTGGTTTGGGTTGTCTCAAAGCAACCAGGCCTTTTCTCTCCCCTCTGTGCCTGACAACCTCCGTCACCCTGCCCCTCCGTGTTCCCGTCTCCAACCCCCCCCCCCCCCCCCCCCCCCCCCCCCCCTCTTCTGCCCCCTTTCACCCCCGCCAAGTGTGTGAGGAGGACCATATACCAGCAGTAGCAGATCGCATGGTGCTGTGCAAGCTGGTTTCAAGTTGACCCCTCCTCCCACCGCTTCCCCCTTTCTCCCCCCGCCAGGTGTGTGAGGACGTGTACCAGCAGACCGCATCATGGTGCTGCGTAAGCTCGCGCAGGACATGCGCGAGTGGATACACCGGCGGGTGAGCCATGGGATAAGGGGTGATTGTTATGGGATGGTGCCGGTAAGCAATGGGGGGGCCCGCGAGGAGGGGAGAAGGGGGATTAGAAAAGACGGAGGGATAGAGGGTGCTGGCACAGGACATGCGCGAGTGGCCGGCCTGCGGGTGGGCGAGAGGGGCAGAGAAGGGGGGGAGGGAATACGGGGGATATGGAAGGGTTAAGAGGCGATGGGGGGAAGAAGATGGCAAGGGTTCAGGAACGTGAGGTCTATGAAGCAGGATGTAGGGGCTCTCTCCTCTGCTCTTTGTCACCCCATTCTTCCCCTAACCCTCCCCCCCTCCCCCTGCACGCCTCTTTCCAACGCCTCTTCCCCACTCCTCTCGCCCACACCACTCCACCACACCTACTCCCCACTCCCTCTCTCCTACCCCTCTCCCCCACGCCTTTCCCCCACGCATTTCCCTCACCCCTCTCTCCCACCTCTTTCCCCCATGCATTTTCCTCACCCCCCTCTCCCCCCCCACCCCTTTCCCCCACGCATTTTGCTCACCCCATTCCCCCACCCACCCCCTTCCCCCACGCAATTTTCTCACCCCTCTCCCCCACCTCTTTCCCCCATGCATTTTCCTCACCCCCCTCTCCCCCCCCACCCCTTTCCCCCACGCATTTTGCTCACCCCATTCCCCCACCCACCCCCTTCCCCCACGCAATTTTCTCACCCCTCTCTCCCACCTCTTTCCCCCATGCATTTTCCTCACCCCCCTCTCCCCCCCCATCCCTTTCCCCCTCGCATTTTGCTCACCCCTTTCCCCCACCCACCCCTTTCCCCCACGCAATTTCCTCGCCCCTCTCCCCGTTCAAGAGGATGCTGATTTAAGAGTGAAGGTTGGAGAGTGCAGGAGGGTCTTGCTGCTGTAGTACAAAAGCCTGCCAGAAGTCTTGGGTTCCTATTGGGCTGCCAAGCACTTGGACGCCTCCATCGCCTAGAGGCGGGAGGCTGGTGATGTTGGCAGCCCCTCCGGCCGAGACCCAGTGGGTCACTTTGGCGGACACTTTTGGAGCTGAGAAGGGTGTGTGCAGGGTTCTGGCGCAGGAGCAAGTGGGGAGGGCTGCCTGTACGTGTTGATGATGTACGGTGAGGAACCTTGGAGAGCTAAGTTCCGTTGGGGTCTCCAATATGCCATGCGCCCAACGGAGTCTACAGGTTACCTGCAGCTGCTCGTCTCTGTTGCTGGTCTGTGTGTGCCCATCGCACCCAGCTCGCCAAGAAGACCTCTTTCTCTCAGAGCTTGAGGAAGGGCCCGCATGGTTCGGGCTCACACCATGATCACATCAGATAACCACCTCAGTATCCCATGATCTCATCACCCCAAGATCGCATCCACCCCATGGCAGAGCACCGTGGCAGGGTGCACTAGGTGTGCTGAGTGCAGCCGTCACTCTCCCTTCCCCTTACACTTTCCCATTTCCACCCCTTTCTCCCTTTCCCTCCTGTAGCCCCTCCGATTCTCCATCCCGATTGCCATCCGCACCTCTCCAGGTGAACACAGTGCAGCAAGCAGCGTCCATCACACTGCTCCAATCCGCCTATCCTGCATCACCTCATTGCTCTCTCTTGCTCCCTCTCACCACCCTTCTCCCCTATCACCCACCAGTGTGCATAGTCCTGTCAGTAGCATCCACCCCCTGCCATCTCTACACCCACACATTGATCAGCAAGCCCTCATCTCTACACTGAGGTGAGTAGTGCGTTGTATCGAACCTGCTTCTACCGAAACGGGTCTCTCCTCTAATTTGTGATCTGGCTTGCTGCCACTGCCATTGGCAACTCATCATCTCTCGTGTCCACCCATCAATTTGGAGGAGTCAGTCTCATGGTCTTATTGCTTCATCACACGTTCACCCCATCCACACAGCACCATCCCCATTACCCCATCAACCAATCAGACCATCACCTCTTCACCCAACCAGCTCTTTGCCTCATCATCCCATCACCCCATCACCCCATCCCATGATTGGTGGGGCGCATGGTGCAGGCCGGTGGTACGGGTTGGTGGTTTGCCGTCCACAAAAGTGAGGAGCTGCCCTTGATCTCCCCTACCTTTCCATTTTCCCTTCAATCCCAACAGTCCCTATTTTGCAGGCGCAGAGCCAACATCGCCAGCGTTAGAGCAGTGAGCTGTCTCAACAGTGGACTGGCTCATTCCAATTGGGCGCCTCTCCACCAGGCACTGAGCTCTGCTAGTTCTCAGCCTTCATCCTCCCTGCCTGCCCTGCCTTCCCTTCCTTCCCTTACCACCCTCGACTACCATTACCAACCCCTACTCTGCAGGCAGTACCCGGCAGGTGCAAGGCCAAGATCCCCACTCTCATCACCGTCGCCTTCATTGAAACCTTGGGGACCTCTGGCACTTGGCTTTGCCTCGTCCCAGCCTTCGCCATCCTCGCCCTCGCAATAGAGAGCAGCTCATTGCTCAACGATGTTGATTTCTGATTTCCGCGATTTGTCATTGCGTGGATGCTGCTGAATGGAAGTCTGCTGCTGCTGCTCTCCAAGGGTGGCGGCATGATCTTGTCCTTCCTTGCCCATTGATCCCCATTTTGAGAGTGTCAAGTCGTTCTACTTCTAAACAGCAGCTGGCTAGTTATGTTGCCCAGGAGTGACGGCATGTTCCTGTTATTATTACCCACGGATCCCTCCGACATTTGACCATCTGGCATCAATGCAAGAACTTCTCTTTGGTGTACCGATGCAAGGAGGGGAAACAGATGAAGGTGAAATGGAACACAACTAGAGGGGATGGATCCTCGCCTGACTGCCTCCCACCGACGCCACCACCAACCCCACCAGCAACCGAGGGGAAAGGGTGGACTCGTTTGCAGCGGACCTGGCTATATGCATTTGGTCAATCTGAGAAGCACTTGAGATAATTGGTAACTTCATTCAAACTAGCCCAATTTTGCATATTTGGCAAGTAAGCAGTGCAGATATAACTTGGGGCAAACAGAGAAAAAAGGGTATCACTTTTTGAACTTAAAAAGGTCCTCGTTAGACCAGGGGGACTCACTTTCCAGTTATATCCAGAAAAACAGCCGCATCTTGTCTAGGTTGCGGAACCTGCCATTCTGATTTGATCAACGGAACTCATGCTGGTGGATAGCAGCACATGTGAGGATCAGCTGGAGTCTGGGGTGCCGCGGTGAGAGAGAGGATACGCGGGGGAGCGATGATACACTGGGGGGGGGCGGACGAGTAGAGCGAGGCGGGGTGGTGCAGCAGCTAAAGTTGCTCGGAGGGCCTGCCCGGGTGGTGAGGGAGGAGCTCATCAGTGAGCTTTTGCACCCGATGGCCTTCAGACGACTTTTGAGTCGACTCAAAAGGCAGCTAGAGTTGGTCTGAGGGCCTGCCCCCGGGTGGTGAGGGAGGAGCTCATCACTGAGCGCGTGCACCCGATGGCCTTCAGACTCATGTGCCTTGTTGCGCGACAGCCTGCCACACAGCACACACACGCACACGCATGCACACACACGCACGTGCGCACGAGCGCACATGCGCACACACAGACACACGCCCACGCACGCACGCACTCGTACACACACACACACAAACACACCCCCCCCCCCCCCCCCCCCCCACACCCACAACCACCCACCATGCAGAAGGCGAGGGACGCCCCCCACGGGCATGACGGCGAGGGTCCAGAGGGCGTGAGGCCACGTGTCAAAGTAGGGCAAGGAGGCGAGCGAGGACCACGGCTCGTGCAGCAGCGAGAAGATGCCGCACACAAGCGCCATCACGGGCGCCAGATACTGCAGCAACATGAGCAGCGGGTTGGTCAGGCCTGTTGGGGTAGAGGGAGGGCGGACTTGCGGTTGGTGGGAGGCAAGGGGAACTAGGAGGACTGGAAAGGAGATAGTGGCATGAGGATGGCGTGACCATAGCAAATATGCGAGGAAGGGTGAGAAACCGGAGGATTGTGGCGTGTGGGAGAGCAAGCACAGCACACAGGCACTGTGGAGCTGGGGCTGCACCCGGAAATATGAGGTGAGTGAGGAGGAAGGGGCAACGCGACAGATGCTTACCAAGTGTGTCCCTCTGTCACCAGTAGAAGCGACGACAGCATGGTGAGATGGTGAGTAGATGTTGTGAGCGTAAAGGGTAAACAGGAGACGAAAAGAGTGGGTTAGTTGGTTGATGCAGCAGCACACATAGCAGCACAGCAGCAGCACAGCAGCACACAGTAGCACAGCAGCACACAGCAGCATACACAGCAGCAGTGAGCAGCAGCTTACCTGGAGGAGCACTTGCAGCAGCACCCATCAGAGACCCGCCATGAATGAGGCCAGCATGACGAAGATGAAGCCCAGCAGCTCAAACTCCGTCTCCCCCACCACTGGGAGCACCACACGCCACTCGAGGGCACACCACACGGAATGTCAAAAGCGCGAATTAAGTCAAAGAACTCTGCTCGACGCCCATGTATAAATCAGGCGTTGCGTTGCAATGCTGATTTGGGGGTGGAGCGCACGGAAATGGTAGTGATACAAGAGGAAAACTGAGGCACGGTAGAAAAAAATGTTGGATGGTCATCGAATTACCCTCCCAGCCCCCTCCCCCTTCCGTTCCCCCTTCCGTTCCCCCTCGTCCCCCCCTCCCCACCCTATGCCAAGCACGCCGACGGAGATGATGAGCCTGGTGCCCACCCATGCTTCTACTCTATGCATCGCAACGTGCTGTGTGTGTGGAGCGCACCCAAGTTTGAGTGCCACACTGGACCTTTTCTGCAACGGATAAGATATCACAAACGCTTTTGAGTACACCCACGCTTGAGCAAACCCCCGTAAGCGGATCATTTTGACCAAGGAGACTGCAGTGAATGAAGCGGATAAGATATCGCACAGTGACGACGAGGGAGAATAAGGGCGGGACAGCGTACCATGGAGTAGAAGGTGCGGGTGACGAGCGCGAGGGAGAAGCTGGAGAGGGTAATGTCAAGCGATGTGGCCACTGCCGTGGGCACCACTGCATGCACGGGGCAGAGCACACAGGGCACAGGCCAACACACGTTTAAACAAGTAAGCATCCATTAGAAAGCCGCCTGAACCGAACCAGCCTCAATGGACAAGTTGCTGAACGTGCATGCACGAGTTCCTGAGAGCGCCCATCCCCATTCTCAATCCCTCCCTCCCACCCACACGGCGAACCTCGCACGAAGTAGTCGCGCCAGGAAATGGGGGAGGCGGGCAGCCACGAGTGGCAGCAGAGGTGACTTTTGAGGCGACTCAAAAGTCAGTCGACTAGAAACACTTTCGAGTCAACTCATCAAGTTACCTCGCACAAAGTAGTCGCGCCAGGAGATGGCAGTCACGAGTGGAAGCAGCAGTGAGGCGATGGCGCCCTGCACGAAGAAGTGCACGGTGGTCATGAGCAGTGGCGCTGGTAAGCGCCGGTGCTTCGCACCGATCAGCACCTTGTTGTACCTGCCCACCCACCCACGGCCACCACCGCCCCGCCACTCACCCACCCACCCACCCACCCATCCATCCACCACCGCCCCGCCCGTGCGTACATGCATGGCGATGCGATAGTGCAATGCATAGCGGGAGTGCACAGGTACAGCAGGGGGCGATAAAGGGTTGCTTGCAAGGGGAGATACGAACGGGCGAAAGGGCCCTTTAGATGGATGGCCAGCCCAGTGAGAAATTTGATCACGCACTGGGGGAGTGGCAACTACAGGGAGGGTGGCTACACAGGAAAAGCGACATGCTTACAGGGAGCGCGGCATGCTACAGCGCCATGCTTAGAGCAGCATGCTTACAGGGAGCGCGGCATGCTACAGCGCCATGCTTAGAGCAGCATGCTTACAGGGAGCGCGGCATGCTACAGCGCCATGCTTAGAGCAGCATGCTTACAGGAAGCGCGGCATGCTACAGCGCCATGCTTAGAGCAGCATGCTTACAGGGAGCGCGGCATGCTACAGCGCCATGCTTAGAGCAGCATGCTTACAGGAAGTGCGGCATGCTACAGCGCCATGCTTAGAGCAGCATGCTTACAGGGAGCGCGGCATGCTACAGCGCCATGCTTAGAGCAGCATGCTTACAGGAAGCGCGGCATGCTACAGCGCCATGCTTAGAGCAGCATGCTTACAGGGAGCACGGCATGCTACAGCGCCATGCTTAGAGCAGCATGCTTGCAGGGAGCGCGGCATGCTACAGCGCCATGCTTAGAGCAGCATGCTTACAGGGAGAGCGCCGTGCTGAAGGTGTGCCAGAGCAGCACGAGCAGCACCACCTTAACCGCCGACCACAGCCACGGCGCGCACCATGGCGACACGCGCAACGCCGATGCTGACCCAGCAACGTCATCTTCCAGGTCCGCTGGCACGATAACATCTTCGCTATTCGCCATAGGCCGACTCGATTCCGTGATCGATTTGACCTGGATGGCATTGCTTGTGGCAAGTCGCGGCGAGAGGAGCGCTCGGCTCTCATTGGTCGACATGATGGCGAACAGGAACAGCTACGATGGTCAACCCTAAACTCCGCACTAATGAATTCTCGTGGCAGGGTGGCGTGGAGATTGGACCATATCTCGTTGAAATCAACGCGAAGAGATGGACGAAAGCGACTGAGTGTCGCACACAGGATCGCCAGATCGCAAAATGCTGCGCTTGGAGCCTTTTTCCAGATAGCGCGTTTTGAGACGTCTCTAAACTAGATTGTTGTGCTTGGAGCTTTCTTTCAAAGCGAGATCGACCCGCGCAGCGAGCGACTGCACGCGCTAGTCGCTCAAAATGCGGCGCCACTCTATAGGACGTCGTGACGGAAGCAGGAGAAGCGCCAGATACGCCCAAAAAAAATAATCAGCATTCGGTATCAGTGCGCTTGTGATCGCTTGTGAATCCGGATACCACAAGCGCTTGTGATAACTAGAAACGCCACGCGACTCATAGATTCTGCGGAAACTAAGATGGTAGGATGAACATCTGAGCATGTGTGTGCCCGAGATTGCAAGAGCGCACTTGAACCTATTCTACGACAGTAGTTCAGCTTGCATGGTTTGCCTAGTTGATGCTCGGCTACCACTCGCCTCATTCAACGAAGAAGCACGAAGTTGCATAAGTACAGCTAGTGGGGTATACAAACAAATGCTGGTCGAGAAACCAACAAAGGCATACGAACCATGGTTAGGATGGCAACAGCTGACTCACAAGCTCAGGCATCGAATTTGGAGTCGCGTCCCAAATTCGTACCTTGATTATGGCCGTGCTTGGGCGAAATGAGAACGACGCAGGGCCTGCTTGTTTGGCACTTCACTTCGCGGAACTAATAGGTGTGCGAGATATATTTCATATCGCAAAACACGGGTGGTAACATTCAAATGGCAATCGGCTGTGTGTCTGAAATGAAACGGTTGTGTCGAACTCGAAACTCGAGTACTGGGTCATAATCTGACCTCCCGTATGACTCCTTCCTACTACACCTGATGCCTATTTCAGTCCCCTTCTCCATCTTTCCCTGTGCTCCTCTCTCGTGCACGCGCTCCCCATGGGGAGAATGGGACTGTATTTGGGTAGCCTAGCGTGTCTTGTCTGGGAAACTCGAAGAACTTATTCGAGGTCAAGAATATCTTAGTTTTGTCGTGGGCTAGTAACGCGCGGGCCGTTGGCTGTGAATGTCGACCACTGGGCGTATGGAGTGGCAGTGAGCGTGTTCAGAGTGGGCGGTTGAGTGAGCATTAGGGTGTACAGCTATGTCTAGCCACCATAATCTGAGTCGTGACGCATACTAGGCGTGCATTGCAAGAGCGCTATCTCCCATCGCAATAGAAGGCGACTCGAATCGCCTCTACGAACCACTACGACTCGCGGCGGCGCCATTCCTTTGCGACTCGTACTATACTCCGCGCATCCTGTGCTCTCGTCACTATATTTTGGTCCGCTCGCTCCGTCGCAACACTTTCGAATTTGCCGCGTCGCGCCATCACGCGCCACGCGCTGCAGATCGACGTACCGCGCCGCCGCTGGGACGCTTCGAGCCGCGGAAACGATAGTCTAAGAAACCCTAATTAGAGGTAAGCCTCCCCATCCATTCCCCAGTCAGACCTTCGCTTTCAAATCTTTGCAAGCCTGAGGCTCACAACTCATGGTCTAGGCGCTTCTAGTCTGTCAGAGGGGGTCGATGTGCAACTGTTGGTTACACACGGAGTTGCTTACGGATTCTGCACACTGCCAAGAGACTTGCAGAGCCCCTTGACGCATTCGTTGCCCTTATTAGCATTGCTGCTTTCGCCCTGGTTCACGGAGTCACGCTGTCACTCACCCAGGCAATGACCGTCCAAGCATGTGACCCAGCTCTCTCACTGACCTGGGCTCTCGTTGACCTGGGCTCTCGTTGACCCGGGCTCTCATTGACCTAGGCTCTCGTTGACCTAGGCTCTCGTTGATCTGGGCTCTCATTGACCTAGGCTCTCGTTGACCTAGGCTCTCGTTGACCTAGGCTCTCACTGGCCTGGGCTCTCGTTGACCTGGGCTCTCATTGACCTCGGGCTCTCATTGACCTGGGCTCTCATTGACCTGGGCTCTCATTGATCTGGGCTCTCATTGACCTGGGCTCTCATTGACCTGGGCTCTCATTGACCTAGGCTCTCGTTGACCTAGGCTCTCGTTGACCTGGACTCTCGTTGACCTGGGCTCTCATTGACCTGGGCTCTCATTGACCTGGGCTCTCGTTGACCTGGGCTCTCATTGACCTGGGCTCTCATTGACCTGGGCTCTCACTGACCTGGGCTCTCATTGACCTGGGCTCTCATTGACCTGGGCTCTCATTGACCTGGGCTCTCATTGACCTGGGCTCTCATTGACCTGGGCTCTCATTGACCTGGGCTCTCATTGACCTGGGCTCTCATTGACCTGGGCTCTCATTGACCTGGGCTCTCATTGACCTGGGCTCTCATTGACCTGGGCTCTCATTGACCTGGGCTCTCATTGACCTAGGCTCTCGTTGACCTGGGCTCTCGTTGACCTGGGCTCTCATTGACCTGGGCTCTCATTGACCTGGGCTCTCATTGACCTGCGCTCTCGTTGACCTGGGCTCTCATTGACCTGGGCTCTCATTGACCTGGGCTCTCATTGACCTGGGCTCTCATTGACCTGGGCTCTCATTGACCTGGGCTCTCGTTGACCTGGGCTCTCATTGACCTGGGCTCTCATTGACCTGGGCTCTCGTTGACCTGGGCTCTCGTTGACCTGGACTCTTGTTGACCTGGGCTCTCATTGACCTGGGCTCTCATTGACCTGGGCTCTCATTGACCTGGGCTCTCATTGACCTGGGCTCTCGTTGACCTGGGCTCTCATTGACCTGGGCTCTCATTGTCCTGGGCTCTCATTGACCTGGGCTCTCATTGACCTGGGCTCTCATTGACCTGGGCTCTCATTGACCTGGGCTCTCATTGACCTGGGCTCTCGTTGACCTGGGCTCTCATTGACCTGGGCTCTCATTGACCTGGGCTCTCATTGACCTGGGCTCTCGTTGACCTGGGCTCTCATTGACCTGGGCTCTCATTGACCTGGGCTCTCGTTGACCTGGGCTCTCGTTGACCTGGACTCTCGTTGACATGGGCTCTCATTGACCTGGGCTCTCATTGACCTGGGCTCTCGTTGACCTGGGCTCTCATTGACCTGGGCTCTCATTGACCTGGGCTCTCATTGACCTGGGCTCTCGTTGTCCTGGGCTCTGATTGACCCGGGCTCTCATTGACCTCTCGGACTGACTTGGGCTTTATTTTAGGCTCTCATCGTTTCCCTGGTGTGTCGTTGCCCTGGTTCAGACACTCATGCTGTCACTACGCAGTCAAGAATTACCACGCTATGAAATGGATCTCTTAGCGATGCTAACATAGTAGAAACAGCCTAAAGCTAATCGCTAGGTGCCCAAGTTAGAATCAGTCTATGCTTGATTTCAGGGTGCGAAGGCAGAGCGACCCCAAGCTGATGACTAGGTTATCTCTGACCTAACTGCAAGTGACCCCACATTTGTCGAGGCTAACCTATGACTGTCCTAATCTGTGTCAGGCTTGCTTGTGCTTGGCCCAGCCTGGGACTAGGCATGAGCAAATAGCGACTTGTTTTAGTAACGAGGCGACGCGAGTTTTACTCTTTACTCGTCCAAAAAGGCGAGTAACCTACCTATTTGTCACGGATAAGAGAATGATCACGGCGAGGCAAGTGATACTCGCCTCGCCAGGAACACCTGATGTTGAGTTCATTATTTTTCATGGAAACATTGATCTGCAACCTCCCCCCCCCCCCCCCCTCCCCCCCTCATGAAAGTACTTTCATTTTCGCCTATATTCGCCTGTTAGTGTCCTAGCATCTGACTGACCTACCTTGTCATTGTCCTAGCCTGTGAGTGTCCTGGTTTCTGTTTGTTCTTGCTTGTGCTTAACCTTACTGGTGATTGGCCGAGCTTGGGACTGTTGCAGCCTCCGACTGGCCTAATCTGTGAGTGACCTAGCTTGTAGCTTACCCAGCTTGTCACCAACTTGGCCTCTGAATGACTATCATAGGCCCTGACTAACCTAGCATGTGGGGGGGCTAGCTTCGATGGACCTATCTTGTGAGGGTCTTGCCTCTGACTGACCTTTCGTGTGACTGACCTTTCGTGTGACTGACCTAGCCTTTGACCAACCTAGTTAGCTCCCAACTGGCCCAGCTCCTGACGGATCCGAGTTTTCCTGTAAGCAGTGGTTAGATTTGATTCACAATCACATATGACGATGGAGATTGGTGAAGGTTTGCTGCTTGTTTGGGATTTGAATCGCTACCAGGACTGAAAATCTCGTCTTGATTTTGCTGGGATACAGCTAGGCTAGGTGCACGGATTGAGGGGAGGAGGGTAAGATGCCGTTGTTGGAAACTGTGCGACAGAACAAGTGCAGCAAATTTGTGTGGACAGAAAACGTCGGGTAAGGCTGATACGGTCAGGGTGGTTCAGGGTGGTCAATGGATTGGGAAGGAGGTGGCGATATAAATGTAGAGCATTTCTTCTCTTTTTTTTTGCGTCAATCTGACAGTATGCCAATTTGCACGGCGGGGCGATAAAAATTGTTCTATAATCGCCCTGTAGTATTCTTGTATAGTGTAATGCGTAGTTCCGAGTGCATTATGGATTGCCAAAGGCCAGTGGATTTACACAGTATGCTCGCTAGTGACAGACAAAGGCTATGATTCAACCAGCCTACAATCAACCTAGTCAGTGACTAACCAAGCACGTTTTCCAGCCTCTGATGGACCAGACTTGTGATTCCTTTACAGGTGACCAACTGTGACTGGCGTAGCTTCTGACCACCTACGAGCATGATCATTTTTGCAGCTGTCACGTTGTCTCAACAGTTGCTAGTTCTGAGCT